TAAAGAAACCTATCGTATTTCGTAAGTGGTGTTGAAATATATTGTCCTACTTTTTTTATTTCTAGTGGGGTGGGACTAAGTCCCTTGTACTGCGGCCACTTCTGGCCTATTATACCAGCCCCAGATGACAGGTGAGGGTGATTGTGGAGCAATTGGTGGAATGAAGATTCCGAAGTACTCGGAGAAAACCTGCCCCAGCGCCACTTTGTCCACCACAAATCCCACTTGACCAGACCCGGGATCCAACCCGGGCCGCCACGGTGGGAAGCCAGCGACTAACCGCTTGAGCTATGGTGCGGCCTGAAAACCTACTTGGTGATTAGTAGGGACCGGATTTTAATGCAAATGCATATTTCTTTCTTACAACTAGAAAGTATGCTCGTTTGGATATATGTATGAATTACTTCATTTCTTAAATTTTGGATAGGGGTGATGGTGCATATAAATGCATTTTTTTGCCTGTTTTATGAATAAGCATCATATTTTCTATGATCCCTATTTATACTGCATATTTCCTTTTTAAAATGTTTATCATATATTTTTTAATTTTATGTTCAAATTTTCAATAATGGTCGTGTGTATACAATTTTTCTTTTCCGTATTACAATATGTTGCATATTTGACTCAACATTTCGTCATGATTCATGTTTATGATGCAATACCCAGGACGGGACTTCCCCGATCCCTCTACTCGTAACTTGCCTCATGCTCGTACCATCAAAGTAGCCGCGAAGAGATTAGTCGGAAGCGTTCACATGTAGCCGCTATCAACGCAATAATATTCAACCGATAAGGGACTTCACTTATTTATTTCCGAAGTCTCCATGAGGTTCGTTACGCTTCTTCATTTGAAGCTGGGGGCCATTCACATTAGTCGTGACTAGTCTGTAGTTAAGTTTGTTTAGCTTTCTGTAGTCATGCCGAAAGTGAAAGTAAGTCAGAAAACTAAATTACAGCTTAATCAGCGGGAGTTCGAAGGAGAGATGATAAGTACGGATAACGAAATTCTTTATTGCCGAGCGTGTGAGAAAACAGCTGGTTGTGAAAAACGCTTTCAAGTGCTTCAGCATTTGAACACTAATATACACAAAGAGAATATTAAAATTAAATCCACGAAAAGTGCTCCTGCTAAAAAAATTGCTTAGTGAATTTTCTAATAATAGTTTTCACAGTTTTCCTTTGATTTATGAGAAGCCTTTTTAGCGGCAGAAACTAACTAATCCTGCTCTGAGAAATTTCACAGAGAAGTACAAACAGTGCAAAGTGCCGGATGAATCTACTGTGCACAAAAATTACGCGAAGCAGTGTTACAATCTTACAATTGAAAGCATAAGCGATAAGATTCAAGATCATTTTGTGTGGGTATCAATCGACGAAACACAAAATTGTGAGGGACGGTTTATTGCAAATAGTATAGTTGGATCCCTTAATAAGAATGAACAATCTACCCCATATATTCTTGAGGTTGAGAAATTTGAAACCACAAATAGCTCTGCAGTTTCCGAATTTTCTATCAGTTCCATGAATTTACTATGGCCGAATGGCATTCAGTATGAGTGGGTATTGCTCTTTGTGCGTGATGCCGCAAGTTATATGATGAAAGCCGGTACTGCTTTCCATATTTACTTTCATATTTCCAAATATGACACATGTGACTTGCCTTGCGCATGGGTTGCACCGTGTTGCAGAAACAATTCATGCAAATTTTCCGCTTGTTGACAAGTTGGTGTCTTCTGTGAAGAAGGTATTTGTTAAAGCGCCATACAAAAAAGAAGCCTTTAAAGCAGTAGCACCGAGCGTTCCACTTCCGCCAGAACCAATTTTAACGCGCTGGGGCACGTGGCTGTGCGCAGCGAGTTATTATACCGAACATTTAGAAACAGTTAGGAATGTCGTGAATACATTTGATCCCAAAAGTGCAGCATCAATTCAAATTGCCCACGATGTACAAAAAATGCATAACTACAAACTAATCTTTCCTATATATATCTGCTCACTTCTCTCATCTTCCATCCGCCATTTCCTCACTGGAGGCAAACAGTAGCAATATTACTTTGTATCAGTCGTTAAGTGTGTTCAAAATCACTGTTTCCAAATTGAATTCGGTTCCTGGAAGGGTTGGTGAAGTAGTAAAGGCAAAAGTACACAGCATTCTTTAAAAAAAATCCAGGATATGAACAAATTTGTAAAATTGAAGAAATTTTAGTCGATAAACGGACTGAACTGCCAAGTAAAAAACCACTAAGAGTGGAGCAAATAGCGGCATTTGTACATGCGCCCCTAAGTTCCTGTGAGGTGGAAAGAAGTTTTTCCCGCTATAAGGACATCTTACGAGACAACAGGAGGTGACTAACTATGGAAAACCTAAAACATTTAGTAATTGTGAACTGCAACAGAAGAGAAGTTGAAAGTTCGGAGAGCTAAATGTGAGTACCATTGGTTTTTTAAATTTTTAATGAAATATGTTGGCTTTGTTGCACGATTTGTATTTAAGTATAGTTTGTTATTGCAAGTGAATCATTCAGTGATTACATAAAGAGAACTTAAATACTGATTTGTTAGTCTTAAAATAATGTAAAATCAATTTTAATATTTGGTATAAATTTTTATATGCATATTTCGGAAGTTTTTCATGCATAAATTCATACATATTTAAGAGATTATTAGGGCATAATAATCCGGTCCCTAGTGATTAGTTATATGATACAGTACTGAGCCAAAATAATGACTTACACATTTATGGCCCTATTATTATGGTAAGAGAAAATACACACATGCCTTTAACGTCATATTTTAGTTACGATATCCGTGATTATGGAAATTGTGACTCTATTCTTTATTGAAATTTTTATTTTAAATTTAAAAATTTGTAATGGAGGGTGGATTATATCCACTACGTTCAAGACCTAAAGTACTTTCTTTTTTAAAATTGAAACCAAAGCAGAGTTTGAAATGTAAAAGTTGCTATGAGTAACTAGTAAATCCAGCCAGAAGCAAATAACATACAGATGCAAACAAGTTCTACTTCCTAGTGCATGGAGACGAAACATACATCTTAAGCAAGGTAATACAATCACGGTTACCACCATACAGACTTCAGAAAGATGTAATGGTGGCCCTCATAGGAACTCCCTAAGGAATGATCATCTTAAAGGCACACACATAAAATTACTGGTACTGTACATTTTTCTTCAGGAACTTCAATTTTTGCAGATTTGGGGGGAATTTATTAACTGGCTCGGATGCGAATGTTATTGAATATATCATTTTGTATGTTCGACCATTGTGAACATTTGAGCATATGCTATAAAGACAATGGACTTAAACTCCATTATTTCTAACTTAAAATACAAAACAAATGTTACTCTGATTAACGCCACGATTTGCACCTCAATTCAGCTGGGTCCCAGCGCCACCAACTGGCGTCCTGGACGTGCAAAGATATTTCTCTATACATATATCAGACTAGACTAATACACCTCACACTCACCAAGACTCTTTAATTGTCTATATCATAGTAAATATATCCATTGAAATAGGAAATCAGTAAACTTATCTAATATAAATAATACACATTAATAGTTTCTGTTTATACAAGTCTCTAAATATTAATTTCTTCCCTGAATGTATTCTGAGCCGGAACATAGGAGCAGGGGAAGGCCCCAGAAACAGCATTGGCCATAACAACCAGTACCCCCTGTCCCGTCCGACTCAATATTTTGATTGACAATTGAGGTATGATATTAGAATATATTAATATAACATGTTAAAACGAGGGCGGGAGAATGTAACACTACGTACTGTAAAATATTTCTCCTTTAATCAAGTGCTGCCAGTTCCAGCATGAGGGAACCAACAAAAACAACGTCTGTCGGTGCGTCCGTCACTCGCGGGTCATACAGTGTTCAGTGATGCAGTGTAGCCGTCCCTGTCTATGTTCGTGAAGATGTATATCGAACAATGATTGTACTTGATTTTCTGAAATCCTGAGTTGGTTTTAAGGACAGCTTGGAAGTCATTTTAGGATATATATATTACAAGAAGAAAAACTTGAAACCACGAACACTGCTGTTTTTGTTATCCTAGTCAGGATATTTTCAGATTTTTTTGAGCAAGCTAGGCGATGATACAGAGTGGTTCCCAGCTTATCAAGGCTCGATAGGAACTTTGGAAACATCACCTCATATTTTACATTGCAACAATATAGTGTCCTCGACACGCTGGGAACCCAAAGCAGACAACTTAGCTCAGTCTTTTAACATGTTTTGTGCTGATGTGTGGGACTCTATGAAAAATACCAACCCATCAAGCAAAACACAATAACACACATACAGACACTTTGGAAACTAAATCACAGGTGTAGCTATCTCCGCCATACAAATAGGCTTAACTTAAGGTACAGTTTCTCATGTACGAGTGTCTCGGATGCTAAGCTGGCGTTAGTGTGAAGGAAACTGTGAGGGGTTCGGACAATTTCTCCTTCACTGGGAGGAACACGAGGGAAGGAACGAACTTTCGGTGCAGCTGTAACTGTTCACTCGGAGTCCCGTCGGGCTCTTCCAGAAGGAACGGTTGCATTATGAACTGATCTAAACAAGGAAGTTGATTTTGTGGGACGGCGTAAGACGCAGGGACTTGAGACTTTCTGGCCGCTTCTTGTAACTTTCTTTTTACTTCATCCGTGACAGCTTCTTTTAATTCTAATAACGACTCCCCTGCTTCTGATATTTTTCGCATTTCAAAATTAGGGCTCTCAGCCTTATGCTCCTTTCTGATATGCTTCTTTACAATTATCATATATGGGGAGGAGAACCCGCAACGAGTACATTTGTACAGACCTTGTGGAGTCGTACTGATCGCGACTGCCTCGACGGAGCTGGAAGAGACTGTTTCTGGTGCACTTGCGGGATGGGTACTGTGCCTATTCTCGATATGCGACAAGCAATTTTCTCGAGATCTAAAGCGCTGAAAACACTTTGAACACCGAAACTTACACCTTCCATTCATCGAATCTTCTTCAATTATTTCGCCTTCCAACTTTTCTGCATTCTTCAAATTATCTCCATTTTCTTCGTTGTTCGGAGAATGTCGCTCAACAAGCTTCATTCGTTCTTGCAAACTGCCGCTTTGCGGTGGATACTGGGCTGGCGATGCAGGGCCTAGAAACTGATTTAAAACGCCTGAGAACTGATGGGTTAGGATGTGGTGTTGGAACACTTCGGCCTGGAGGAAACTCTGCAGACAAACAGGACATTGTAACGGTTTTGCTGGGTCAGGTAACGGCTGCGAAATCAGACCTCCGTGGGATCTTTCATGGACAAACAGAAATGCTAGAACAGGCGTCGTAAATGGGCAATAGGAACAGTGATAGCTTTTTACTGTCGAATCTCCGGAACCGAAGAGACTTGCAAACACCTGATGCCCGCCCGCATCTCCTGTGCGTTCCTGAGGCGTTAGAGCGGGCGGCCGTGAACAGCCAGTGTCCTGATCTTGACTGTGCCAGTTGTTCGGAATTTTCAAAGTAGGGCTATAAGTACACCCTGGACCAGATGAAGAATTGTTGACTGTTCCAAAGCTCCTGGCTGACTGTAATTGATGTTTCCCTTGTTGCGAAATAAGTTGATATTGATTTTCCAATTCTTTCCATTTTTCTACACCATTCTCACCATGGTCGTTCAAGAGATGTGCTTTCAGCCACTTTGTGCTTCGGAAGCGGCGGTTACATATTGAACAAACCTCAGTAAAGTGGCTGAAATACCTGTGACTTAGATCACTCAGGTCGGACGGTTTCAAAGCCTGGTCGCCCTCTACTTGAAGCTGTATATTGGACACGCTGTCCTTAGCTGAGTGAGCGACGGCTCCATCTTCAACAATTCCATGGGTATTCTGTTTATGCACGCGTAGAAAATACTTGCTACAGAGTTCCTTGTTGCAGATGTCACAAATAACGCCACCAATTTGCGCTCCATTCTCGATCTCAATGCCATGCATACGTTGCATGTGCGTCTTCATGAAGTACTTATTGCACAATTCCTTGTTACAAATTTCACAGTAACTGCTCGTCGGCGTCACAGAAATTCGTTTCTCTGATCCTACGAGAGTCGCTGGCTGACTCTGAAGCTTCTCAGGAGGTGACTTGGTCTCCAACTCTTCCTTAATCATGTTACTAATCACTGTGGTCGAGGTTGATGCTATCGTTGTTACAGCATAATTGTGAAAATCGTCCACATGTTGCTTCAGCTGATATTGGGTGAAGAAATCTTTCTTACATGAGAAGCAATACGTATTCGTGCTTGAGAGAGGAGACATGCCAGTCACCTCCACAGATGGAGGTTTTTGTCTTTCAACGCCATTTTGACCTTCAATTAAAATACCATGTTCCGTCATCATATGGGCTGCCAAGCAGTAATGATTCTCTAACACTTTGTTGCAAATGGTACAAGTAGCCACTTTACTTACGTTAAGGTTATTCAATTGCAATATCATAGTTTGAAGTTTCTGCAGATCTTCACTAATGGCGTCTTTCCCATCGTTGTTATTGTTGATAGGTCCCTCTTCAGCCGTCGATTTGTCACTATTTTTAAACATATTTCCGTTCTCAAAATTTGTACTAATATTCTCATGAGCTTTAGAATCAAGTCCACCCGGATCTTCCTGTCCCTCCGTCCTCTCGCTCCCCGTAACATGCAGGTACGCTCGATGTACCTGCATCTGGTAGAAGCTCTGAAACCGCTGTCCGCAGATGTCGCATTCCGAATCGTCGATATCAGAGAAGTCGTTCCTTATTTTGTCTCCGGAATCTGAACTGTTAGTACCCTGCTCACCTACTATTAAATTTAATGGGCTCATCCGATTGTAAGTCCATGCAGTACAGCCACTAACCCCCGTTTTAAGTTCTTTCCCATCACCTTCTGAAATGTAAATACCGTGACGTTTCATTTTGTGCGTCCTCAGGAAATACTTATTACAATATTCCTTACAGCATATCTCGCAAAATGCATCGGCATTAATGACACCCAACTTTCGTAACCGATCTGAAGATAATGCGATTTCTTTCGAGTTTTGCTGAGAAGGAGTTGGCGAATTCTTGGTGCAATTTGTTGAGCTAATATCCGGATAATCTCCCACTGAACGGCCTTCCTCTGAATCTTGCTCGGGTTCCTCTTTCACCTTTGAAGCTTCCACAGCTTCATCTGTAACAGAGTTTGCAGGACTCAGCTTCATTTCCAGGTTGCTGCAATGTTTCTCGTGCGAGCTGACGCCCACTTCTCCCACTTCCGAAATGTTTTCTGGTATGTCACTGGAAACAGTGTCTACAACATTTGACCCAGTATCTGAACCTGCCGATGTGCTTCCTCGTTCATCGGTCTCTTGTTTCCTAAGACAATCCGATGAGTTCAGGAAAGATGTACTCCCTGATGCAGGGAGAGACTCGTCGATAATTCCATGAATCTTCGCTTTGTGTCGCCTAACAAAATATTTGTTACAGAATTTCTTTTGACAGATATCACAAAATGATTTCAGCTGTGCGTTTCCAGGTATTTTATTCGTGATTATATTTTCGGATATTCCGGGAGGAAGTGATGGAGTTTTTGGATTATGTGTCCCTGATACAGTAGACGTTGTCCGGGAAAGATTTAAATTAACCTGAATCAAAGGAGTTGGGTAATGGGGGCCAGGAATCATAGTTCCACCGAGTGTAGTACTAGGACCATCGACGTAAATTCCATGCTTATTAGCTTTATGGGTCTTTAGAAAATATTTGTTGCAAAATTCTTTGTTACACAATTCACAATAAGCGTCAGGATTGAATATTCGTATAGAAGTTGTGCCAGGAGCTTGTCCTTGGTTCTGTGTGAGTGAGGAAGTGGAGTGAAGCCCTGAACTTTGGGACATGAGAGGCAACAAGAAATGTGGCGATAGGGGCATGTAACCAGGCAGAGAAATGTTCCCATCAACAAGTGAGCCCGAACTGCCAGAATCATGAGTCTGTGGTAACACTACTTGCGGTTTGGTCCCGTGGATTAAATCATCTGTCTTATTTCGAAACTCGGATATTAGAGATCTTACAGCGAAACCTATATGCGAAGTTGAGTCTGTGGTTCGTAAATGAGAGAGATTAAGCGGTATTTCTGACTTACTGCCATGTGAATTGTCGCTTCCTACTTTGTGTTGAAACTGGGTTTGAAAATGTCCATTCTCGGTATGAAATTTAAGATGTTCTTTGGAGTTTAAAATCTCAGGACAATGAGGGCATTGCGAAGAAGAACTGTGATCATATATCTTAAGTGTATCCGATTCTGGGTCTAGTTCCAACTCTGGCTCTGCCTTAAGGTCCATTTCCAGTTCCGTATCGGTGTGTCCATGGGCTGGATTTGGTGATTTTTCATTGTGTGTCTTACCTTCGTTGTTGGATTCCGGTTCATCGTCGCTGGATGGCTCCGTGAGTGAAAGCAGTCGAACAGGTTTTGACTGCTTCCGTCTCTTCTTGACTTGAGACTGGTCAGCTTCTGATTGGCTGTCCTGAAATGGACGTTTGTAGCTTGGAGTTTCGATGACGCTGTTTGGGGCCATGTCCTCTTCATCGTGGTGTTCTACTTCCTCGCTGGAACTGGAGGAGTCTTCCCCGTCGCTGTACTCTGCGCCTTTGATTACACTCCCGGTTCCTGCCGTTGCTGAGTCAACAACAGTAGAACTCATCATCCCGTTCTGTGCTCTGTTATCGTGTTGAAAAGGACGCACTACTGCCAGTCTTCATGTAGAGTGTAAGGTACTGTCCTGTAACAAGCATTAATGTCGTGCAAGTTAAGATCGATGTTATGTTTTAATCTACATATACTATATGAAATTTTGCTGTGGTTCTGTATGGGTGTGAAACTCTGTTTCTGATATTAAAGGAGAAACTTAGACTGAGGGTGTTAAGGACAATATTTGGACCGAAGAGGGATGAAGTGACAGGAGGTTTGAGAAAACTGCATGATGAGGAGCTTCATAACTTGTGCTCTCCTCCAAGTATAATTAGAATCATGAAGTCAAGAGAATGAGGTGGGCAGGGCATGTAGCGTGAATTGGGGAGAAGAGGAGTGTATATAGGATATGGGTGGGAAAGCCGAAAGGAAGGATACGCTGGGAAGACCAAGGCGTAGGTGGGTGGACAATATTAAAATGGATCTCAGAGAGATAGAATGGGATGGTATGGATTGGATTCATCTAGATCAGGATAGGGACCGTTGGAGGGCTCTTGTGAACACTGTAATGAACCTTCGGGTTCCATAAAATGCTGGGAAGTTCTTGAGTAGCTGCAGAATTGGCGGCTTTTCAAGAAGAGCTCAGCTCCATGAGTGAGTGACAAATACTATGTGACACTTCCTTCTCCGAATAAGGTCATTAAAGCTGCGACCGCTCAGTTTACGGCGCATGCGTTCTTTTATTTGGCGATACACTCGAATCGCGGATTCTAATTCCTCTCAAACCAGGGATATATATTCGCGTATCTGTTTATGCCGGCCTGTGTCGTTAGAGATGGAACCAATGTTGGAGAAGTCTTACTGAAACATATGAAAGGTTCTCACATTCAGAGTCAAACAGGTCTGACAGCCTGCTCCGTGGAAGCTGAAGAAAGCTCTGAAATATTATCTCTGTTATCACATTCTTGCTAATACTGAGTTAGGATATTTATGTAGTAAAGGCAAAGGTAAAGTTGTTCAACTAATTAAGCACTACGCCATGAAGGCGTATAGTGGGGTGGATGTATAGATCCACATTTTATTGTCCCCAGCACTAGTCAGTGGTGGGTGGTTAGCTTCACGCAAATGTCGCTTTACACCCGAGGAAAGAGCCGCCGGCAACATTTGGATAGGAGGTTGAGTGGACCCCAGAACCAGTCTGAGGGACGTGGGGAAGAGAACATTCTTGACCCTACCGGGACTCGAACTCCGACGCCTCTGTCGTCCAGCCCGTAGCTAGTCGCTATATCGATTATCCTATCCCGGCTTCCGTAATTAACGATTTATTGAAGTAATTATTTGAAACGTCTTGCAAATTAGAAGTTCTGTAAAAAGTTGCACAATAACTACAGTTACGATCTTCCACGAAGTGGTACAAACGTATCAACGTTACAGAGAAACCTACTGCCTCCATTTTGGGGCCAATTCTGCTGTCCTGAACATTTAGGAAAATTCGGGGTGACGCATTCCGGAAGAATTTAATCTCAATATTCACAGCCGAGAAAACTTCAGAGCTCATGTTTCATGGCGTTTCAAATCAATTGAAGTAATTCAATAAGATTGCTAGAAATCTAGGAACTTTTGTGCACAAACAAATTAGTCTTACACTCCGTCCTTTACAAATCAGAAAACTGAACGAATTTCCTTTCAGTATATTCATAATGCTTTAAATCTAACCACTGTTGGTCTAGTGCACACGCGATGGTGTACCTTAACTACGATAATAGTCATTATCTTAGGTAAGATCTGAAAGTTTCTGGCGATGGTACATCAGTACAAATATTATGTTTTGGGGCATTATCCACCATCTTGTCTTTATCTACAAACTGTTCTGTTTATTTTTCAAAACACAACGTTTCGGATACTGGATTATGTCTCCTTCAGGCAAAAGACGGAGACAGAATCCAGTTTCTGAAACGCTGTCTCTTTAAAAATAAACAGGACGGTAAGAGACGGTGACAGAATCCAGTCTCCGAAACGCTGTGTCTTTAAAAATAAACAGGACGGTAAAAGACGGAGACAGAATCCAGTCTCCGAAACGCTGTCTTTAAAAATTAACAGGATGGTAAAAGACGGAGACAGAATCCAGTCTCCGAAACGCTGTGTCTTTAAAAATAGACAGGACGGTAAAAGACAGAGACAGAATCTGGTCTCCGAAACACTTTTTTTTTAAAAAATAAACAGGACGGTTTTTAGATAAAGACAAGATGATGGATAATATCCAAAAACATATTATTTGTACTAATTTTAAGCTTTCACGGGGATTCATTTTTCATACTGACCCCGCTCTTGAATATGATCATCGTGAGGAAGTGCGCTGTGTTGGAAACAGTTGGGAGATACATGCTGCTTCATATTAAGGGTCCAAGACAGGATGCCTAATGTGCATATTCGCTCGGACCTAGCTCCAGCCCACCCGTCACCCCCATGAGCCTGTTGGATCGCAGCCGATATAACATTAACACTCATTCACCTTGTCCACTTCAAGCCAGTAAATAGTGTCAGGATGTACTTATGAAATATCGACATTACAGCTTATTTTCTCAAGTATACGAAATATAACAACGACCCCCTCATGTATTCGTTACAAATACCAATCAATAAATATCGTCACTCGATTAAATAACTAACAAATTAACTGCGTGAAACCGAGTCCTTCTTGAGAATTCGCCAGTTACTCAGTTACTAAAGTTTTTCCGAACACTTTACGAAACTCGAATGTTCATGACCATATTCACAAGAGCCTGCTGCTGGTCCCGATTTTGAGCGAGATTAATAGAGTCCGTACCAGCCCCAGCCAAATAAATATACCTTGATAATTATACAATTAAAATGGTGTGATTTATATGTCTCTATGTTGACTACGCTCCGATCATACTTACTCACTTATGGAGCTGAGCCCTTCTGGAGGAGCCGCCAATTGTGCAGCTACTCAAGAATTTCCCAGCATTTTATGGAACCCGAAGGTTCATTACCGTATTCACAAGAGCCGTCCACTGTTCCCTATCGTGAGCCAGATCAATCCATAACATCCCATTATATCTTTCTAAGATCTATTTTAATATTGTCCACCCACCTACGCCTTGGTCTTCCCAGTGATCTCTTTCCCACAAATATCCTATACGCAGTCGTCTCCCCCATTCGTGCTACATTCCCTGCACACCTCATCCTCCTTGACTTCATCATTCTAATTATACTTGGAGAAGAGTACAAGTTATGAAGCTCCTCATTATGCAGTTTTCTCCAACCTCCTGTCACTTCATCCCTCTTCTGTTCAAATATTCTCCTCAACACCCTGTTCTCAAACACCCTCAGTCTATGTTCCTTCCTTAATGTCAGAGACCAAGTTTCACACCCATACAGAACCACAGGCAAAATTATAGTTTTGTATATTCTAATTTTTATGTTTTTGGACAGCAGACGAGAAGACAAAATGTTCTGGACTGAATGGTAGCAAGCATTACCCGAGTTCAGTCTCCTCTTAATTTCCTCCTGAATAAGGTTTCGATCTGTTATCGTTGTTCCCAAATATCTGAACTTATAATACAAAATAGTATTCAGTAAGTTACCTGATTACAGTGTATGATTATTTAGTATTTGGTGTTCCGTAGTTCGAATCTCCTTACCGACTATTCTTCTTTTTGTTCCTGTTGCTTCCACTTCACTTCAGCTTCTTAATCTTAAACAGTCGGTAGGACTCCTTGGGCGGAGATCAACCCGTCGCAAAACCGCTACTTACACAAGAAAACACAAACACAGACTAAACGGACACATCCATGCCTTCAGTGGGATTCGAACCCACGATCCCAGCGATCGAGCGGGCGAAGATATCTCATGCCTTAGATGACGCCGCTACACACTAAAAAAAGCTCCGTGATTTTAGTCCGCAAGCGAACTATACCGACAGAGCGACCGCCGCTTGTCGGCGAAGTTAGTGCCAACTTTAGTGGATAGAGGGTGTCGCGTGGTCAGCGCAACGAATCCCCCACGGCCGTTAATTTCGGTTTTCTAGACCGGAACCGCTATTTCCTTGAAATAGTACATCAATTATCCTCAAGAGGCTGAGTGGACCCCGTTCCAGACCCATTACTTCTCAGAAAAAGTCTGAAAGCGCCGGGAATCGAACCCGGACTTCTGGATCTGTAGCCAGCGACGCTGACCAATAGACCATTAAACTGAATGGAATTGAGTATGTATTTCTTCCTCATGCAGAGTGTAAAATAAAATACAACTGCAGTTCTCTCCTGTTTGCGTTACAAAATTATTCATCATTCATATGAGACTCGTGACAAAATTATGATACACGAAAATATATAAACAAACAGAATGAAATGTTGATATGCGAAAATAGTAACGATCTCACTTCAGTATTGTAATTTCAGGACACAGAGAAAGATAATGAGTACCCATGTTTTATTATCAGATGTGTCAGTTGAAGGTATCAAGTAAAGATAATGAAACAGGTCCATTCCTCGTACAAGGTTTTATTGTCTCTGCATCTGCTTCTTGCGGATTCGAACTTACGTTTGAGTGACTTAGACACAGACTGAATGTTCACACACTTTTAAAATTATCCGACATGAAGCGATAAACTCTTCTTATTAAGAGGGTATCATGGCTGTAGTTAGACGGAAGTTCACAGGTTCGATGCCCCTACAAGCCCGAAGTATCTAAAATATCAAAAATTGAATTGCACTATCTTCTGAGAAGTGAACCAGTATATTCCTGTACAGGTTCACTGGTGTTTCGAAAATATTACTACCTTCATCTTCAGGGTGGAAGACTAATTCAAGCAAACTACCATCTGCTTGCTTCTTGTTGGTTGCTTGCTTGTTTCGCTCTTCGACACTGAGGATGGAGACAATATATTTGTCGAAAACATATGAATTTCTACCGAATTACAAAACATAAAATCCCAGAAGATAGTACTTTTCACAGTCACCGTCGCAAGATTCTTAAATCCGTCACTATAAA